CATGTGGTGGTTTGGTGTAAGAAAGGTCAAAAGAACCAATTTGGCTTTGTTAGGAAGATGGTTCTGGCATTTCAACTCCAAAACTAATGGGCTGTCGGTTGAAAAGTATAGCTATAGTGAAAATGGCTGGGACACAAGCACCCCCCTTGCAGCCTTATGGTTGCAGTGTATGGAGAGGGATTTTTAAGGCTTACCCTCACTTTCTGAAATCAATATAGCTTGGTAACGGTGAGAAGCTAAAGTTCTGGACAGATCCATGGTGCGATGAAAGTCCTAATGTTATCTCTTTCCTGGGCTCTATTTGCTTTCTAGCAATAGAGATGCTTTTGTGGCAGATTATTGTGGTTTGTAGGGGGTAATGTTGTTTGGTCCACAGATTTCAGAAAGAACTTCAATGACTGGGAGTTTCATTTAGTATTAGATCATTTGGTTATGCTGCAATGTTAAGCAGTTAACCCCCCAAGCTCAAGATTCCAGATGCTGGAAATGGTCCAAATCTAGCATGTTTTCTGTTAAATCTTGTGTCTTGGTTGGTAGCTTGGAAGATATGTCTTACTAAGCAAATGTAAAAAAGAAAGGGGTTAAATCTACCAGATCATCTCTGTCCCTTGTGCAGGATAGAAGAAAGAGTATTCCAACCATCTCTTCCTCCACTGCAATTTCACTTACAAGATTTGGATTTTCTTCTTCAAGGCCATCTCTTACCAAGGATGCATGCAGGATTCTGTTCAGGCCTTGTTACAGGGATGGAAAGTAGCTGGAATGGGCAGGAAAGGCAGTTTGTTTTGGTCTACTATTCCCTTGACAGCATTATGGTTTGTTGGCTGGAAAGGAATCTTAGATTTTATAAGCAGAAAAATAGCCCTGTGGAAAGAGTGCTTAATGGCATTATTGAGGCTCTAAGAAAGTGGTTATCAAATACAGCTCACTTCAAGGAGAATTAACTTTTCTTCTTCCTTTTTGGATGTAAATATTTTTGAGGATACTTCAATCCTTGTGGCTGTACAGGTTCCAATCATATATTAGAGAGAGAGAATCAGTGAGACAATTAAAAAATGCAAAAGAAATGAAAAGAAGCTTCCTAAAACTAAAGTGAGACATAAAAGGTTTGACTAGAAATGAGAACCCATCAGAAATATTACAAGAGTATCTAATGCATTTTCACCAGTTTTGTAAAAGATGCAAGGTGAGGTGCCAGGATCCCCGGATGTCTCAGGAATCCATCTTGAGAAATGATGCTGAAGCTGTTAAGCATTATGCCACCTCATTTCAAATAAAATGAATTAAATCACAAACAATTACAGGAAATCCACAAAAGTAATAGAGAAAAGTTTCTTTAGAAAAAAAAAATTAAAAAAAAAAGTGCTTTTTGCAGGAAAAAACAATATAAATGGATCAACTATGTTGCACAGCAATGGTTGCATACCCTGAAGACTTAGTAGAATAACCTAGGCCCCGTTTGGCACATCTTTCCACGCAGTCTGTTGGCTATTTAAAAATCCGGCAGACCGCATTGTGGTCTTTTTCCATTTGGTTTGCAGGAGATCTAGTCGCCAAAAGACATTGTGCCGAAAAGACGCGTGAAGCCCGTTTTGGGCTATTTTCAGGAAGCTCCAAATGGAGCTTTTAGGTTTTTTTCAACTCGTCTTCGCATGGAAAGACACACCTTAACCACACGGTCTTCAAGCTGTCAAGATCTTGATGCAAAAGCTCACTACATCTTTTGACTGTCTGAGATTCCAGAAGATCTTTCAAAAAAGACTTGCCAAATGGCCCCCTAGTAACCTAAACATGTGACATGTCCATATCACAAGACAACGGACAAACTGTTAAAACTGTAGAGCATGGGGTTAATCCTTCTGTTAACTAGAGAATGCAACGTTGTAGCCTCACACACATTTTGAAACATTTAGTAGCATATACATCCAGATGCTTGCATTGATCTGATCTGGTGGACTTCTCATGGAATCTACCATCTCAAACCTATTAAATGATGGATCCCATCTTAGACAGAAATGCCACAATATAATTTTAACTTTGCAATCCATCTTTCTAGTTTCCCAGACAAGAATGTCAACTTTATGAAATATACAGTATATTCTCAAAGGTTGTACCTGGTAATCCACAAATACTCTTGGAGGGGTACACCATGCACCCTTATATTGCAGGCCAAGAGAACTTCCACCACTTAAGCCTGTTGTAGCAGACCCTGTCGGAGAATAAAGAACATTCGGCATCTCCTCATCTACAGATGCCCCAGCAGGTGCCTCACTCATGGCCCTCATTGCCACAACATACTCATATGTTGTAATGCCCTGATAGTGACAAATAGGAGTAAAAGAAAAGAAATATCAACAAGAAACTTTGAAATATGCATATCCTTGTAAAAATTGTTTTTCTTTTTTTATATGAAAAAGAAATACCGAAGGAAAAAACTCTCTCACCTTCCTTATCAATAACATGTGGAAGAAGAAAAGTTCACCCAAAGGCACACAAGCTAACAATGAAACTGCAGAACATATAGACTGCATAAATAAGGAACTTAAGATTAGCATAAGTGATCACCTAGTCAGTATCCACTCTATCTCTGAATTTATCATAATGCCTCTGATAGTTATAAGTTGTTCATATAATCTACCATGTAGATATTTCAGAATTGAATTGTTTGACAAAGAAGACATACCACAACAGTTGCAAATGGAGCACGTGAGAAGCCATTGCCAAGCCTCTCAACAATTTCATTCTCCATGTCCCTTTTATCCACAAAGCAGCGCACTAAGACAGCAATACCTACTCCAGCTTCAATAACAAGCTAAATGGGAAGAAAAGGACATCATTAACTAACATACCAAGCAAAACTCAATACTAGTAGCTCTGAAAAAATAAAGGATAGAGCTTTTATGTATACCCAGATGAGGCTTGTGGCCATAAGAGATATAAAAGTTACATAGTTTTTCCTCCCCACGCAATTGTTAAGCCACTGAATCCAGAAGAATGTTCAAGGTTAACTTCCTAAGAGCATTCTCAATAACCAAGAAGTCCAAAAAAATTGAATGTCTGGTTATGTAAAGCACAAAAGTACCCGACAATGATGATCAAATCCATCCACACATTTATCACAACTTCTACAATGTTTGCTGAACTTGCGCACCTACAAGATGAAGAGTCTCAGCCATAAATGACACAGAAAAGGCACAAAAGAGGAGTCTTCTTCCATCAGTTTATGGATATGTTCTCATGTCAAAGCTATAACCCTCCCATTACAGAATAAACACCACAACTAAAAGAATAAATTAGACAGAAAAAAAAAAAGAAACATTAAAGGCCACATTGACCAATGTTGGCCCCTGCCCTACTATCTAGAGTCTTGGGAGAGTAGAGTGGATGAGGACCTAACATTTGGTATTTTTCTTTTTTCCTTTGGTTTTTGCAAGTAGTGGCAACTCTTAGACTCAAATTCACATTCTCATGCTTGTCAGGCCAAGATTTTGTGTCATTGCACCAAACAACAGCCCCTAGTAATCCTTATGAACATCAAGGTTCAAAGTATCAATATGCTTGGTTCTCAAAAAAGTATATTAGCCTATCAGGACGATTATTATTATTTAAATCTATTAAAAAGACCAAAGTCCATGTCTTTCACATATTGGCAACCCTGAAAACCAATATGTATCTTATGACACAGTGATACGTATCAACACTTTTAACCTTGATAAGCATTACTTTTATTTATTTCTTTCTAATTTTTAGACACAAAAAGTGAGAAAACATAATCAAAACCAGAAAGGCAACTTTGGATACAGAATAAATTAAGTCAAGTTAGAGTAACATCAATTTTCAGTCTTCAACCTAGACTACAATGATGGGTTTACCATTCCTTTTCTTCTTTTTGTAATTGATAAAAGAACTCACACATAAAAAAGAAAAGAAAAACACTGCCCTTCTACCCCACAAAGGGGAAAAAGGGAAACCAGGCATACAATTATAAGACCACAAACTAAAAGAAGAAAGTGATATAAGTCATATAACAAAAGAGAATGGGATCTCAGTTCCCTGTAACTAGGCCCTCAATTCTCCTGAGAAAGCAAACTATCAGCCATGGAATTGGCAGATCTCAGGATCTAGCTGATCAAGATGTTCAGCCCAGCAGAAAAATCTGGCCTCTCTACACATGAGCTTGAATCTTTGGGAGCTACCTTATTCATGATTCATCCATCTTAACGTTTTATGATACTCCCTAGACAGCAATCCACTAAATAGACCACAGGTATGCACCCTGGAGAAAAGCTTAAAACCTCTACCCTCAACAAGCTGCTCTCTCCCATGTGTCTGGGAAGGCCGCATCGACTGCTAAATCAGGTTCACCACCCTTTCCGGACCATGTGAAAACTCCAAAGCTCCAGCATAATAACTACTAAGAAACCCTCTTCATTATAAAAAATTATCAGATACACTGGAACTGGATGTCTTTTGATACATATAACTTGGATTAGACTAAATACAGGCCCTCAACTTAATGATGTTTGTTATAGAGATAATAAAACACATGTTATCAGTATGAAGTATTTACGTCTCCGTCTAACAACTTGTCTGTACAGAAGTATAGAACTTTTAACATCACAATTAAGCTTTAAAGAGTTCACCCACTTAAGGACTGATCAATAGACTATTAGAGGCATTAAGATTAAAGATGCTGAAAAGGCAACCAAAACCAAGGACCATGCAGTCCTAACACCAAGTGAAAAAAAAAATGTTAAAGATGTAAGTAGGACATCTGTCTATCCTAGCAATTTTGAAAACATGGAGTACTACCTCAGCATTGCACAATGTGCAGAACAAGGCATCTTCGGAATTCCCTTGTGGATCAGTGGATCCTTCGTGTTTGCAGCAATCTTCATATACAAACAATGCACAGCAAATTCCTCCAATGCTGAAACCAGTTGATGATTTTCCACCTGGAAGGGCAACTGGAATGTCCCCTCTTGCAACTTCACCAACTGAACCCCTTTTGCTAGAGTTTCCTGTTATGGAGCTTCTAGAAGCTGATGATGGAGAGTAACGTGCCCCAGTGCCACCTCCAAAATTACCAGTAAGGTTCATACCTGGTATTCCCATAGCTGTATCTGGTTTATTCATTAGCTCACCATTAAACTTTGACATAATCCCAGGATCAGCAGGGTTAATTGCTGTACAACGGACATAAAGAATGAAAACAAGAAGTGCCTGTAATACAAAAAGGAAAAGGCAAATATCAAAAATAAATAAATAAAATGCTACGTCTCCATACGAGAAAACAGTTGAATCTTACTTGGTAGCTCATTGAGATCATTAAACATACCACAGGAGTGTAAGTTCCGAATGAAGCATATTCCAAGATAGGGCCACCAAGGAAAGGTGCAAAAAAGGCATAAAATGCAACAACTAACAGGAAGTATACGGTAATTGCAACAACCTATTCCAAGGAAAGAAAGAAACAAAATGATTTCACGAGTCTGTTAGTGCCAACATAAGAAAATAAATAAAATGAAAACAAAAGCTACGAGTCCCCAAAAACCCACCAAAAAAAATCATTATAAATGAAGAAGATGCCCCAAAGGATGGCATAAAACTAATTAACACAAGGTAAATCAAATTATGAAAGCAAATGAAATTAGAAGAAGCCAATCCCTAGCCATTTCATGTTAGTATGACCATCCAAACCATTTCTCAAGGAAGCTCTGTTATATAATGAGCTCATAACAATTTATTGGATGCAAGTTGCACTGATGAAACAGAAAGCACTTAAGATATTAGTTTAGGAGTAGAGACACTGATAAATCTCATACTAGAAAAATATAGATTTGGAGCGATATAGCAGTATCCAATTCTTTAAAGGTTATGTCAACCTTTATCCCCAAAATACCAGAATAGCAAATGACAACAATAACATTAATATCAAAGTTAGCATTTTTATGTGAAGAAGAAGAAGAAGAAGAGTCAAATAACCAAGTAACCAACTCAAGCAAAGTATTAGTCCTTTATACACATTTAAAGGCTAAAAGTAGAAAATATAATTATACCCAATTAATTTCTTGTAAAGCAAGAGAAACTAGCCAATACATTATCACAAGAAAGGGTTCGAATTAGAAATTAATATAATTTTTTGTGTTATAGGCGAATAATCTGTCAGTTGAAATAACCACTGGTCAAAGAACTGAGAAAAACCCACATAAAATCATGCATTAAACCATAACTAGGAACATTTAAGAGAAACCTAAACCACAAAGCAGAAATATCCTTCAGAAACAAAACAAGAAAATGGGGGAAAAATTAGTCACTCAACCAAATTCGAAATGATTCACAGAAACATGAAAAGCAAAGACCAAAAGTCATGGACTAAACCCTCTTTTGAAGCCTTTCGACAGATACGCACCTCCTGAAACTACACCTTTTGCAAACCCAAGGCGCCATTTGAAACCAAACATTCACTGGTTCGAAGTAATGTGCTCATTCAAGGAGAGAAACAAACCTGAAAGGTGTGGGCAGGAAGTTGCCACCCATGGCGCCTCACCATAACTGCTGAAACGATTTTGCAGATACAACCGAAGCTCTGATGGATCCCCTTTCAGATCAGAACACAAGAAACATAAAAAAGCCCCTGGAGAGAGAAAAAATCTGCTCCTCTCTCCCTGTGTCTCTCGTTCCCCCCTTCCCTTCCCCCCTTCCCCCTCTCCCACCCTCCCCTCTGTATCGAGACAAGGAGCAATTTCTCTTTCCTTCTGCTTGCCCAGACTCCTTAACTCCAAAGTCAAAAAAAGAAAAAAGGGAACCACAAGTGAAGAGAGAGGAGAGAGGAGAGAGGAGAGAGAAACCGTGAAAGAAGTGGGGGTGTGGGGATTTCAAGAAGAGTAAAACAGGGCTCAAGACACAAAAGGAACCGTTGACGTTGTGGAGTGAAGAGAAAGGTCTGAAATCTATGAGAGCTTTGATTGGTCCCACCAAAACAATCACTTCACTTAAAATCTTCTCTGCTTCTGTAACCTGCACGGCATTAATGGCCACCTAAAAGAGATTAGATTCTTTCTGGACGGCCAGAGGCAAAAGCGGCCGTTTTCCCAGCGACAAATCTCTGTGAACTGCCATACTAGATCATCCGCCCTTTTGGACAAAGCTCCCATTTATCTGATTGATCCGAGTAAAAACTTTTACAAGGCGGTTCCACTTCACTGCAACAAACGTGGCAGCCCAGACTGATACTGCCTGGCAAGTTATTTCTTCTCACCCATGGAAAGCCTTCTGCCACCTGGCAAAAACGAGTCTCGGGAAACAGAAACGACAAAGTGGGTCCCACTCTCACACCTTATCTATCTCTATCTTCATGGGAAAGGGAAGACTTGATTTTGACCATCACACCAAGCACAACGTCTGTGTATGAGCGAGCGTTCCCCACTTCCCAGCTCGTGATGGGGTTAGAACCTAGAACTTAGAATAGAATATAAAAGACAGCGTAGGTCCCACCTCTCTCTGCATCTGGGATTGGGGGAGATCTGCTGAGAGCATCAGACCGCACAGAATGCTCGTGATAGGGTAGAAGTGACAAGGTTGGTCCCACCCTTCCCTGCAAAGAAATCAACCCCAAGAAATTCTTGATGCCAAGTTTCAATCATGATTAGACCTTACGCACTTTTAAATTTGCTAGCAGACAGCGAATCATTTTCATGTATGATAATGGCAAGGGGGACTGCTAGGCTGTCAAGAGGGCCACCAATTTGGCAAAGTTCCGGCCATTTAAGCCATTCAAAAGGTGCATCTAGATTGGGTTCACACTAATCCCATTTTCATCTGGACGGCTTAAATGCTTGACACAGCCCCCCCNCATTATGATCCTCCAACCAGCCTAGTATTTATCCAACATACTTTTAGCTTACCCGGTGGGGCAGGTAGATGATCTCACCCACTTTTGCCAGGTGGAGGAATCCTATGGCAGAATAAGACACTCTCCACCCTCCACCCAAATTATCTAAAGCCATTTAAAGCTTTAATTTAATGTTTTATTTAATAAGGACCTCCTCAAATTGGGGTGTGGAGGCTGACATAGCCACGTGGCAAAGGGTTTAAACTATGGTTTGCCACATATGTATGCGGGGCCCAACCATATGCCAATTTGCCACAAAAAAAGGACTTCCTGTATATAATTAAGCTGCTGAATTAGATATCTCCTCTGGATGACCTACCCTAATATTAGCCACGTGGCAAGATTTTTTTGGGATCAAAATTTGCTTTATGGGCAACCTAGTGGAGGACTGCAAAGTGCAAACAACTCCACTACAAAACCAAGCCTAATTTACAATTGCAAGACTACCAACCATGAACCAAATGGGAAATTAATATGTTTTTGTTGTTTTGATAAACTGGTTCTTGTGTAGTTTAGTAGAAGATGAGGTTAGCTTGTACAAAGCTACAATGCAGTTGGCGGTTTGTAGCCTGGGAAAAACCTAAACCTAAACCTAATCTAAGGAAATTCCCTTTCTTTATTTTTCTTCAATATCTAATGAAAGCATTTGACCAGGTCTCATGTATAGGAGAGATACCATTCCATTCTGTCGTATCTCTATAAAATTCATACAAATTGACTATGGGACAAGCTATGAGCTGTGGCATGTGTGAATGTATGTCACTATTATGAGCACCCCACTTGAGGGCCCACCTAATAATACAAAGGGAGCAGAGTTTGCCAAGTAATCTACACACAAATTGCCCTCTCACATCTGATCAATTTGATGTATTAAACACATCCATATGTCTTCATCTAGGCTTGGTGGGGCCCATGTAAAATGGTCAAGGATGGTCTCCTTTTTTTTTATCTCTGTGAATGGGGATGTACAGACCTTGGACTTTGGCAACAATGTTTCTGTGGTCCTTCAGTAGGACATGTAGGGTGTTTTGTTTCCACTAGACTAATGGAGAGAGGTGATGGACACAAAACCAAAGATGGGTTGCTTTGAAGACCACGCATTGAGATAATGAGATTCTTCAGACAACCTTGTAAAAACTTTCAAAGGGACTCTGGCTGGGATGTGGGAGGGGAGAGTAGTATTTTACAAATGGGAGTTTGGACTTTTAAAAGGAAATAATGCTAGTCAATGGCTAGGACAAACCCCACCTAGGGCCCAGTGTTGTTGGTTCCTCTCTCTCTCTCCATGGAAATTTGTCAACTTACATGTTACAAACAAGGTATGTTCTGTCTATTTGTATTGCTCTCTTGGCTTCTTTCCTAGGTTTAAATCAATGGGTACCAAAGTAAGCTTAATTCATGTGGGGGTGACTAAGACATTATAGGATATGGTGGAAGCAGTAGCACATGAGGAGAGTGGAGTGAGAGGAGTCCAATTTGTCTCGAGGCTATGAAGTGGAATCCAATGGCAGTGACCACAATTCCCTTAATCCAAGTGGCTCATTTGTGAAAATAACCGGTCCAAAAATGATGGGTTAAGGCTGCACTTGATAATGGGTAGGTTCTACCCGAAACTGATGGAATCGGCCTTGAATCGGTCTTGAACCAACTCTATCCAGTCTGTTATAGGGTAGTCTCTAGTTCCAAATTCCCTACTTAGGCCAGTTTTACAGTCTAGGGGTTTACTCTACCCGGATTGATCCGACGAACCAGCCTTACTTGGCCTTGGTGGAACTGAACTTGCCTTGAAATAAACCCCAACATACTTTTGGGGATGTAAAGATTTGAACCTAAGCACTCATGGTTACAAAGGCCATGGTCTCACTGACATTGAGGCTCAACTTGGAAGGAGGACAAATACAAATATGTAGAGTGCAAAACCTTATATTTTATATTATTTTGTATGTATTTGCACTGTGTATATTTGTACTTGTACTCCTTCCAAATTGAGTCTGAGTTACTTATGTGATTTGATCATTTGTTTCCATTTTAATATTTGAATGTGTATAAATAATGTAAAAGTTAATATTTACACATTTTAAATTAAAATTATAAGTTTTGAACTGTATAATGATAACCTACATATTAAGTACTCAATTTAATCAATAAAAATAATATAATTTTTAAACTATATTATATTTTTTTGAAAATCAAGTATTTAAAGACCTGAAATCTACATGGTAGATTCTGGTTCCAAAAACCTAGAATCAACCCCTACATGGTAGGTTCCATGAAACCGAACCGAACTAACCCATGCTCACCCCTAACCTCAAATTGTGTGTGTATGTGAATGTATGTATATATAAAGTATGTATTTGCATCGATTAATTTGCTTCTCTATAGTTAATGCCACTTTCTAAGAATCTCATTAAGGCTAAGGCTGCAAGTTGGGTTGTCCAACTTGAAGAATTTGAATTGCATCATGCTCAAATTAGGATTTAGGGCCCTTCAAATCCTATGAAAATGTGACAAATTCCAAACCCAACCTAACTTAAGTTGTGCCAATAGAATGATAGAACCTCTCTCCACCTCTTGTTTAGCTAAGGTATCTACTACAGAATTAGCAAACCTCTTAACCCAAGACCACCCTTTAAGTAAGGTGAACTCACTCACTAAATCACAATTGATTTTTTTTTTTATAAAGGATGGTGCAATTCATTAACTACAGGTGTGCCAATAGAATGATAGAACCTCTCTCCACCTCTTGTTTAGCTAAGACATCTACTACAGAATTAGCAAACCTCTAACCTCTGGTTAGCCACCTGATCTTCTTCCTTTCATTGTTGAAAAAGCAATAATTCTGACACCCCCCCCCCCAATCTTGTAAGTTGTAACCAGCTAATCACCAGTTTAGAGTTTCCTTCCACAAATATCTTTTGAATGTTCATTTGCTTTGCCTTTTGAATGCCTTCCACTAATCACATTTGATTTGTTATCATCAATTAATTGCACTTCTTCAAAAATGAATTAAGACAGAGAATTTAGATGTTTTCATAATTGTAAAAATTATTCTAACTCTAAAAAAAGGGTAAACCAAAATAATAAACTTTCTCTGAAGTCAATGTTTATAACATTTTTCCCTCTCCATTAAATACCTCCTTTCCTCTCCATCTGGAAAAGTAGGTATATATTGGATGGATTGGGTCAAGTTAAGTGTTAATCCAAGACCAACCCAAGTTTAGACCCAAACTAATGACAAAACCAAACCCAAAGCCAAATTTCTTTTACTTTCACAGCCTTAATTTTAATTCTTAAATGCCTTCTTGACTAATAACATTTTTCCTAAAAAAATAGGGTTTAAAAACTGAAGAGAAAACTCATAAGAAAAGAAGTTATGTGAGGGTGCCCTCATTATAACTCAATGAGAGTTGCCCTCCACCCTTTCCTTGAGTCATCATGTCTCCCAGTTTTACATAGATCCATCACCATATAATAACTCATCTATGTGATCACCTGTAATAAAATTCAAAGGCTAGGATGATTTTTACCCTTCTGATTCTTGAATTATTTTTGCAGTTCTGATCTTCTTTATTTAGACACGTGGCAGCTTAGAAGGGTTACGATGAGGGTGCCCATATTATATAATGATTCACCATTTGAAATACTCAAAAGAAAACAACAACAATTTAACTTAAAATAAATTTATTTTGGCTGCTGCTTTTTTTTTTTCAATGTAAATCTGAACATGAAACAAATTTTGCACCCTGTTTCAGCTTTGCATCCTTTTGTTTTGAAGCTTTAATTTGCATTTTACCTGATGCAAAATTTGC